AGAATATAGGTAGTCCCCGACTTATGATGTATTTGAGTTATGAGGAACCACACTTATGACCATCTGTTTTTTGTTTTTGTTTTTTTTAGGAAAAAAAATTTTTTTTATTGTACTTCAGATGAAGGTTTACAGAACAAATAGTTTCTCATTAAACAGTAGTACACATATTGTTTTATGACACTGGTTGACAACCCCACGACATGTCAACCCTCTTCCTTCTTGACTTTTTTTTTTTTTTTTTTTTGGTGAAAATATACATAGCCAAAGATACACCATTTCAAAAGTTTCTACATGCACAGTTCAGTGACATCGAATACGCTCTTCCAGTTGTGCTGCTATTCTCACTTTAGATGAAAGACCATCTGTTTTTATACTGTCTACAATGTTGCAGTGTGTAATTTGCTGATGTTATCATTCTCAGATGTTCACTCGCAGATGTTTATATGTAATGTTTTCAACCCCCAAAGACAAATAAAGATTGGATTTATAAAGATACCAATAATACCCCAAACTAAACCCATTGCCACTGAGTCGATTCCAACTCAAAACAACCCTATAGGACAGAGTAGAACTTCCCCATAGTGTTTCCAAGGCTGTAAATCTTTATGGAAGCAGACTGCCACATCTTTCTCCCATGGAGTGGCTGGTGGGTTCAAACCGCTGACCTTTTGGTTAGCAGCCTAGCGCTTTACCACTATACCACCAGGGCTCCCTGTACTGATAATAAAAGGCAATAATAATGAACACTTAAAAAAAAAGTGCACGAGAGAGAGTTACTGGACTTAAATCAGAACCGATTTATGATGGAGTCATCGAAAGGGAACCCTGTTTTAAAGTCGTAAGTCAGCGACCTCCTGTACAAAGAAGGAAACAAGACCGTTGAGTATTCACTGGGAGAAGCGATAGAATCCTGTCATGGATTGAATTGTGTCCCCCCAAAAATGTGTGTAGCAACTTGGCTGGGTCATATTTCCCAGTGTTGTATGATTTTGTAATCTGATGTGATTTCCTTATGTGTTGTAAACTCTATCACTATGATGAGATTATATGTTATCTCCTTATGTGTTGTAAATTCTATCACTGTGATGAGGTTATACAGATGAGGTTGACAAGATTAGATAGTGTCTTAATGCAATCTCTTTTGAGATATAAAAGAGAGAAGCAAGCAGAGACACATAGAAACCTCATACCACCAAGAAAGCAGTGCCGGGAGCAGAGTGTGCCCTTTGGACCTGAGGTTCCTGTGCAGAGAAGCTCCCAAACCAAAGGAAGACTGATGACACGGACCTTCCTCCAGAGCTGACAGAGAAAGCGTTCCCCTGGAGCTGACGCCCTGAATTTAGACTTGTAACCTACTGGACTGTGAGAGAATGGACTTCTCTTTGTTGAAGCCATCCACTCGTGGTATTTCTGTTAGAGCAGCACTACATGACTGAGACAGACCCCAAGATAGACTAAGAGTGGTTAGAATGACAAGAACTGGATATATCCTAGAGAATAAAATGGTAGAACTGCCAGAACCTGCTAATTGGTTAAATATGTGGCATGAGGAGAAGCTGTCAAGGGAAACACCCAGGTGTTTGTCCTGGGTATCTGGATTGATGGTGGTGCTTTCTACGAAATAAGTACTACTGGTTAAACGTCCTAAAACTTCTCAGTAAAGAGAAAGAAGGGAGAAAGTTGGCAGGGTTTTCACTAATTTAACACACTGTCTACTTATGCTAGGCACAAAGATGTGGAAAGTAAGAGAAGCCATAGGATGAGGGGCAGAGGAAAATGACAACTGGGACTCCCTAAGGTACATCCTAGATTTGATAACATGACTTCATAGTGGACCCAAGGTCTTGGTTATGACATTCTTTCACCAACCCTGGGCGGTCTGAGAGTAGAATCAGAGAGGGAAGATGTAGATGTGAGTTGAACCCAAGCTGTAAGAACAGGTTTATAGCAAAATACAAGATGGAGGCAATACGTGGGACTAATGTAAGCATCACTAAAATGCCTTCCAATGAACACAGGGAAGCCAGAAAAACCAGAAATGGGACAATGAGAGAATAAGGAGGGGTGAAAAGCCGAAGGCCAATAGGCTGGGAGCGAAGGAGAGATAGAGGTATAGGAGCCAGTCATCAGAGAGAATGGCAGCATTAAGGGAATAGCAGTGGCAACATTCCAAGTAATAAGGTGGGTCCACATGTGATTTTAATTGGTTGAAGGTAGCAAGTGGTCATGAGGCAAGATTGTTTAAAGTGTCATAAACATATATGTTGACATCCCAAAAAGTGAGATCCAAAGGAAGTGTGTGAGCAGGGTAAGAGTCAGTAAACTACAGAAATGGGATGAGGAAAGAGCAGAAAGGTGAAACTATTAAGAGCTCATGGCCAATTGTGTGAAGGAACAGAGTGGTGGAGGGCAGGGTAGGGTGTTGTTCTTCCTTTGATTCCAGAGGTATTGCCTTCATTAGAAGGAAAATTGCATTGCCAAAGGAAAACAGGTTTTGGTATTGTCATGGATTGAATTGTGTCCCCAAAAAATATCTGTCAACCTGGCTGGGCCATGATTCCCAGTATTGTATAATTGTGTACCATTTTGTAATCTGATGTGATTTCCTTATGTGTTATAAATTCAATCACTATGAGCTAATAAGATGGATTAGCAGCAGTTATACTGATACCTCATCAGTATATGATACCTCATCCACTTTTTGGAATGTCAAGATTGGATAGTGTCTTAAGCCAATCTCTTCTGAGATATAAAAGAGAGAAGTGAGCAGAGAAACATGAGAACCTCATACCACCAGTAAAGCAGTGCCAGGAGCAGAGCGCATCCTTTGGACCTGAGGTTCCTGTGCTGAGATGCTCCCAGACCAAGGGAAGACTGATGCATCACAAGGACCTTCCTCCAGAGCCAATAGAGAGAGAAAGCCATCCGCTGGAGCTGATGCGCTGAGTTTGGACTTGTAACCTACTAGACTGTGAGAGAATCAATTTGTCTTTGTTGAAGCTATCCACTGGTGGTATTTCTGTTAGAGCAGCACTAGATGACTAAGACAGGTAGTGACCACGAGATGGGAAGATCATTTTAGGAAAGGGTTCATTTCCAAGCACATAACATATTACAATAGATGGGGCCTCCACGACTATCTTTTTTTCAGTGGACATTGTGGAAGCAAGTAGAGGAGGGAAATCAGGGATGGTTCAGGATACATAGGATAGCAAGGAGTGAGCTGGAAGAGACTCCATGTAGTTTTCTCCTTGGTGGCAGTTTCTTAAGCACACACACCTGAGGCTCTTCTGAGTCATTAGTTCTTCTAGGAACTCCAAGGTCATTTTACATTTATTCACTAAAACTTTTCAGGCCCATCATAGTTGCTGAGTATCTCCATGATGAGTTCTCTGAAGAGGTCTCCCCTTCGAAAGTTCTTTAAGTGCTTATTGAGAACTCTTGAGCAGAAAAAAAAAAAAAATCCCAGACTATTCCCTGCCAATCAGTTTCTGAACACAGACGGAGTTCTTTGATCAAACAAATCAATACAGAGAACTTTAAATGTCCTACAAAATGCCACACAGTAACTCTCAGAAAGTGATGACTAAGAAGTGAAGATAGGAGATATATACAAAAGGTTTCACCCACACCCTGTTTTGTGGTTTTTACCCTGATGCCACCACCACACCTCTGAGTTTCCATTATTAAAATAATAAAGAAGTAGAGCGACTAAAACTTGCTGATCAGAGCATAGAGCTAAACATAGTTCCTCAAAGGATGAACCTGACAGACAAGATCAGGATTCAGTAGGATGGCTGATGCTGCTTGCTAACATTTTTTCCAATCTGGTCTACGTGTGTGCTGGTGTGTGTAGTTCTGTTCTTCTTCAGTTGATCTTTGTGAAAATTAATCTCATCGCCTTTATTTCACTTACAAAACTTTGACATTAACGTCAAGGATAAAAATTGGGGGCAGGGTATCCAAATCTTACATGTTGTTGTTAGTTGCTGTCGACGCACTCCGACCCATGGCAACCCCATGTACAACAGAATGAAACATTGACTAGTCCTGTGCCATCTTCACCATAGTTGCTATGCTCAAATCCATTGTGAAAACCATTGTGTATTCTGAGTATCTTCCAAAGTAGGGGGCTCATCTTCCAGCACTATATTGGACAATATTCTGTTGTGATCCATAGAGTTTTCCTTGACTAATTTTCGGAAGTAGATCACCAAGCCTTTCTTCCTAGTTTGTCTTAGTCTGGAAGCTACACTAAAACCTGTCCACCATGGGTGACCGTGGGTGCTGACAACAACTATGTGCTAAGCTCTTTTCTCGTGTCGTATCATCTAACCCACATGTTCCTTTGAAGTAGGTTACCTTCATCCCCACTTCACAGAAAAAGGACATCAAGGGCGAGCAAAGCAGCTGGTAACCTTCAGGGTTCCAAAGCCAGTAGGTGTTAGAGCTGTGCCACGTTGCCTCAGTGGCGTTTCACTCCCTCTTCTCCCGCATGGTCTCATTTAAAACATATTCACTCCACTTTTTAGGTGTGGCTGGTGACTTCGAGTTTACCTTCTGAGTCACAACTCCACAACAAGTCTTACGGTTAAAATGAGGAAAGGAGAAGCGGTTGTGAAAGTTGGATGGAGGACAGATAGAACAGGTGGAACCAAGAGAATGGACAGAAGGGAAAAATAATGAGCAGGCGGCGTTGAGAGACTCCAGCGAGCGCTGGGTGGTACTCGCGAAAGAGAGAGCAAAGAGAGTCCAGCACGAAGGACTGAGCCAGGCGGCTGCCGCACCTGTGCACGTGACCGCGCGGGCGCCAGGGCGGAGGCGCGCTCACCTGGGACCACGTGACGGGGCGGGGCCGCCGCGAGCGGGAGGCC